GGATCTCTGAGGAGAAAACTCTGTGTGTGTGTGTTCGTGCACAAATGCATGAGCACCCAGTTCCTTCAGATTTCTCTCTAATCACAGCTTTTCCACCTGCGCCATCCCCTGGAGTTGTGACCCTGCCTACGGACACTGGCATTATTTGGGACCCTCAACTCTGAGCCTCAACCTCTTTTCAGAGCCCCCATTTTGATCCCTCTGCCTCAAGCACAGTTTTTCTGAAATTCTAACACTTTGTCCTTCTTCTCCCCTCCCTTGCAAAAAGTGCCTGCAGCTCTGTCACTCCCAAATAGCCCCTTTCCCCTTCCTGAGCCCTGGGCTCCCCCCAGGACTCTCCCACCCACCGGTTGTCCCCACCAGAGCACCAAAGAAACTCACGGAGTGACCGCCGGTAGATCTGCCCTGCAGACAGCTCACGCTTCAGATCTTCACTGAGGAGCAGGAAAGGCTCATCTTCAGCGGCATCCCTCACCTGGTGAAGGAAAGAGGGCAAGAAGAGGCTGGGGCAAAGTGAAATGCAGCCCCCTCCCTGCACCTCTCAAGAACAGGCACCCGCAGATTAAATCCCTCCTCCAGAAACAGTGTAGCTGTGGAAGAGCTCAGTGAGAAATCTGCCAACCTGCAGTAGAGGGGAACAAACCTGACACCTAAGAGGTGAGCCCAGTGGCTCATTGCACAGTGAGTCTCTCAAATGCTCAGCAAAAATGCAAGCTTGAGAAAAAGAAGGATAAACAAATGGGGGGGACGGGATGGGGCAGTTGCATTAATGTTACCCAGGTGTAGGTTTAATGCAGGAGGAGCGGGAATAGGAGGGGAGAGAGGAAAAAGCACGATGCTCGAAAGCTGTGAGTACAAGTTAGAAGACAGCAGCTAAAAGCACAGTGAGGTGCTTTAGTCATCAGCCCCATTGCTCACCTCTAGGTATCTGGTTTCCCCCTTGGAGGCTGCCAGGAAGATAAGAACGAAGTGGCATTGAAACTGGAAAGCGGATGGCATGCTGACACCTGCTCTGGCAGCTCTCCCTCTCTCCCTGTGGCCAAGTTTCTCCCGGTCTGCACTGGTAGGCAGGAGCCGCTGGGGTATCTTGGAGAGACTCTTTTTATAGAGCTGTTGGGAGGGGAGGCACTTGGTCCCCGTACTGATAGGGTAACCCATGGTAACTGAATTCCTCTTGCAGTGACAGAGTACGTGGGCATGACGAGGGTCCAAATCACAGCCACAAATTTTCAAGCCAGTGGAACTCCCCTTCCTGGCAGATGTTTTTTCTACTTATCTGTCTGGCGGATCTGAAAAGATCTGGGGAGGTGAGCCTGTCTCTGTGCAGCCAGGGCACTCGCACGGTGTATTTATTTCCAGTTACTCCAAAGAGAGGAATGAGGAGCATCCCTCACTCCTCCTCTTCTCCTACTTTACAGTCTCAGGGCATTTCGGACATGCAGGGCTCCCTGCCTCCCTCCTGCTGCTCCATGAGATGCAGCTCTCCACAGCCCCCATGCCAGGTGCTTCCCACCGGCCAGGCCCAGGTGGGCACTCCTGCATCCCAGCTGGGCTTGCAGCCTGGGCCCAGCATCACCCCGGGGGTGGGGGACCCGCTGGCTTCCAGGTCCTGCACCTGCAGCTGGGGCAGAAATGCTCTGCAGCAAGTACTCAAGTGAAAACAGACAGCTCTCCCCACCAGACACGGCTTTCATACAGGAATTGGGAAAACTTGGGGTTCCCAAGGTCATTTTCACCACAGAACAGCTGATACTGCTCCAGCCCCGAATCTCAAGGGAAACTGAGAAAGGCCTTCAAAAGATGAACCTGGGAATGAAAATTCATAACTCTGCAGAGAACTAAAAATCAGGAACTCAGCAGAGATATTAGTTTTAGGGTATATTATTGTTTCCGCCTGACCTGCATGAACCATCAATACTCTGCAGACAATAACCACCCTTTCCCCATCTCAGGTTTCTTGCTAATGTCTCCTTCTGCTCTATGCTTCCCTGTCAAATTGTCACTTTGGTTCAGCAAAACTTAGTATGATATGGACTTGCAAAGCTTTTAAGTTTGCTGCTTCTAATTTCATCGTTAGGGTTTATGGACAGAAACATTTGCTTGCTCTTTCTCTCAACTTGTTGGTCAAACAACAAATAAGTAAATCTTTTTATGTCTATGCACCTGTGGCTCTGACCTTATTATACTGTATTTCTTATTCTTATGGTTTACTTTAACGTAAGCTATAATATTGCTCCATATCTGCACAGCACTTCTGTGAACACACTATCTGTGTGGGTTTCAAAAGCATAAAAAATACTAAGGAAATGGAAAATATTATTTTTGGAGTTTGACATCAAGTTGCATTCAAAGTTGTTAAAACTGCTTTGGAGAACTAAGTAGTTAACTACAGCATGAGTTAATTCATCTTCATATACTTGCCTTGAATCGTTTAAATACGGTGATTTTAGGCAAGGATTATCAGTGGATCATCCAAGGCAGTTTGGAATCTAAAATCCATTGAGGTTCTTTGGGAATTACAAGTTTTGTTGGAAAACTGCAGGATTTAGTCCCAACTTGCACTAGAGAATGGCTGGGAGGTTAATCAAGGTGGTGAGAGGTGCTCTGGAGATCACCGGGATCCTGCAGGACCAGGAGGGGCTGCAGAGGAGCCCAGCCTCATTCACTTTTCTTATCACACTTTCTCATTCTGAAGAGATGAAGAAAGTCAGAATTACAGCATTACCCCGCTACTCCTCATCTTTGAGGCACTTTGCAGAACCCAGTCCCAATTCTGGCTGGGGTGTCCCAGTTTGCCCTGCTGGACCCCAACATAGACCTTAGATGCTGAGTCAGTCCTTGAATATCTTCAGCAAAGGAGAGAGAGTGTTTGACTGTATGCAACTTTGACCAGTTACTGAAGATTTGGTTAAATTCAGCTCCAAAAATGAGTGAAGGACAAACGACACTGCAGCTAAATCAATACGACTGCCTATTAAACCAGCTGTGAGGTGATCTACTCAAAATAAAACAGACCAAATAAAAAATACCAATAGCAATATTAACATATTTTAAACACTAGCCTACAAAGAGCTGAGGTCTGAGCTAGCATAGCATTCGCTGGTGGAGGTGCCTGGACAAGCAGCTAGTCCCAGGGCTGGAGGACATCTTGGCAGATGAGGATCTCTAATCAACACGGCGGTGGGAGGGAGGATAGGACCCACCTCCACATCTGTTGCAACTTATTACTCACAAGGAACCTACAGTGACTTTGCCTTTCCAATGCAACACCTGCAGGAGTTTGCTTGGAGCATTACAAATATCCTGTACAACTTTAGTGCAAAAGTTAAACTCAGACGTCCCTTGCTGTGGATGCGGAGCTTGGGTTTAACAGAGGCGCTACGGCAACCTGTCATCTATTCTGCGTCATCTTCTGCTTCGCTTTTCTGCTCTGGGCTCAGCAGGAGCTGATGAAGCACGATGACAGCCTGTCCAGCCTCATCGCAAAGCCTGCCAGTGCCTGGGGTAATTCCCTGTGTACTCAAACACAGGGCTGCCCTCAGCCACAAAACTCTTATATGGTTCCCTTTGAGCAGCACTAATGCCTGTGGAAGGCAAGTATTTGGGATGAGGTTAGGGAACCACAGGCAAAGAGGTATAGCTGCTGCTGCTGCTGCTGGCAGGGGCTCTGCCTTGCAGTGCCTCCACACCTGACTCAGGTGGAGCCTGGGCAGATAGACCCCCAAAGGAGACCAGTCCTAGGGGAAGGAGGAGGCTCTTCTCCCAGCCTTATATCCTGCCTGTCAGAGGGCAAGAGAGGATGGGGGACCACTTCCTCACTCGGTGCTGCTGCCTCCTCACAGGGTATTACAGGTCCCCTTCACCTCTGGACCTCCCTTTGCCAGCTCCAGTGCTGCTTTTAAGGCCACTGGCAAAGACTGAACTCTTCAGGAGGTGAGATTGTGACTAACAAAGCAAAGAAAAACCAACAGTTTAAGCGGGGTTCAAAACATCCCTGCGGCATTTCAGAAGGGAAAAGCACTTTCAATGTGATATAAACCCTGGGGCGAATGAGGAGGGTGTCATTTTTCTGTCATGGGGTTGAGTCACGTTGACGCTTTGTAGGACAATTTTTTTCATTAATATCAAATTATATAACACAGTGAAATGAATTCCCAGTCTGACCCTGCCAGGGGCTAGATAATCCAGTTGCTCTCATGATATGACACCTTGACTCTGCTAGCAACCGTAATTCACCCTGGGAGCAGCCCCTTTCCCTGGCAGAAGCGATGGGATGCCATCATGTTGGTGAGAGGCCGGGATGCGTGCAAGGTGTCACCCACTCCGCTCTGCTACAGCTCAGGGGAGTATTGCTGGGGCACCCCAGCATTTGCAGACTCTCAGGTTGTTAAAGCAGTGATGTAGGTGTGTTTTTTATGCTGTTCAGATATGTGCTTGGGAGGACCCACCTGCCCCATGGTGGAAATCCTCCACCTCATGCTCAGAGCTTGTAGGTGTCTTGTCAGCTATTATAGCAGAGAAGAGATCCCAGCTGTGGTGAGAGGTGGAGAAAATACAGCTGAATAAAGAGAGTAGTGAAACAAACCCCATTTACCCTCCCCCGTGGTGATCAAGCAATGCTCTGTGCTATAATACAGTTGATAAATGCAGCTTCTTCTCCTCAAAGTTTAGGTAGTTGGTACAGGAAGGTTGTGGGTGATGCTCTTGGTAGTGAGGTTTCCTAGTGAGCAGTGGTTGAGCTACAGACACTCTTTAGACACTTCCTAATGTGAAGAGGGGCCAAGTAATATGAACCCTTTCTGCTGTCCCAAAAGAGTCCCTTGAGTCCCCAGCTCACTAACACAGCACCCTGCCATGCTTTAATTCCTGCAAAAGATCACTTTATTTCAGCACTTGCTTCACCACAAATGCACTGCAGGCTGTGGCCCCCATTCCCTCCATTCAACGTAGAAATTTTACCTGCAGCACATCCCACCTTGCACTCAGGGA